CCTTCCTCGTATCATTTTTTCACTCACACACAAATAAACTTCTAATATTCACTTACACGCCTATTTCCGTTCTGGTGTTTTTTCTTAGCTCTTGACTTCTAACACTTCCGTTTTTTCTTTCGTTTCCATTTAGTTAATCGTGGATAAAGTGATTCATATTAAGGGGGTACCAAACATCGCATAAGTGAAGTGTGAACGTGTAATAGATATAAGACGAATTGTAAATGAATCTGAAAATTCGGCCTTCCACTAAAATACTTGTGTATTTATTAAGTTTTACCCTGAACAATGTAACAACTGTCTAGGGCTTATTTTTTGTGATAAATGCTTGAATTATCCTTCGCAGTGTTAGTATGGACGTATATTATTTTGAAGAAAATAATACATTTATCAAAAAATAAAAAGTTTTGTACTGATTAATAATAGGGTGTCCTAATGATCATAATTTTTATTATTAATTTTTGTCATTTTTGTCAATTGGATCAGTGCGCCCGGTCCTGGCTTGTAGTGAAGCTGTGAAGGCGACAGACGCTTTTACTCCGCGTCCAAACTTTCGCTTTAACTTCATTTTAAGCACATGCTTTTCCGGTCAACTGTGAGTCGCGGGTTGTTGCAGGGGCGTTGAAGGTACGTGTTGCCGAGGTAGGGAGTAGTAGGCCAAGGGTGTGGAAGAACGTTGACGCAACGAAGGTAAGTGAGACAGCGGTACACCGGGGGGGAGGCTCGTTTTGGCGCAGGAAATGCCGGTCCGCGACAATAACGACCACCGGGCTGTCAGAGACAAAATGGCCCCGGATCCCGCGCGACTGGTCCCTCGGTGCCACCCAGAGGCCCCCGGCCCCCGCACCCTGCGAGCTGATTTTTATGACACAATGTTACTGGGTCCAGGGAGATGGTAATCGTAAGCGGCGGCGCGGAGCGGCACGGAGAATATGCGATGATGTCGGCGCTGCGAAATAGCCCAAACTACGAATGCCGCCCTCGTCCTCCTTTCTCTCCGAGTCCCCTTTCTCTGGCTTCCTTTGATCCCCTCACCCTTGTGTCCAGAAGAGGTCCATAGTCGGATTCCTCTTCTCCCTCGGCAATATTGCTGCTGTGCGAGGGCTGCAATCCCCGGTCGTGCGCAGCGTACACATATGCGAGGCGCACCCTTCGCAGAGTGCCATGGCTCGACCCGTGTTTCTTGTCGTCTTTTATTACTTGCCCCTCCCCCTACTTTACGTCTTCCTCATTCCACCTCCCTTTCCCTCGACATTCTTACCCAGTTTCATCTTCCGCTTGCCCCTAACCTCGACTCGACAAGAAAATAGACAGAGGTGTCAATAAATTAATCAATCTGAGTTAATGATGAATGTGGAGCCTGTTTGGCGATAGCGCGATTGCGGGCGAGAGAGTGCCAGGCGAGCGCATCCGTAAGGGCCAAGACGCCGTCCCGACTTAAATGGCGAACTCGACCTCAAGGCCTAGTCTGAGAACGGCGCAGTTACCCCTTCCAGTAACACTACATTAAAAGTTATACTGCTTTCGATTTATGGATTTTTTAATGTTTTATTTCTTTCCAGCCTTGCAGCTTTTCTTCACGAGATGTGAGACTGTTGAGGGAAACGTCTTGAAGCATTAGCCAGTGATAGCTACTTAAATTTTTCTTTTTTCTTCCTCCTTTTTTCGGTCTCAGCTTAATTGCAGTCAGTGGAATTTTAAGGGTAGATTTATTAGCTCAAGTATGCCCTAAACCTTAGTGGGAATACTTGTAGAGCTGCTGCTTTGTGGTACACTTCCAAGGCTTGCACCCTCATAAGGAGCTCTTCGTCTGCAGGGAGATAAGTCTTCCTCCGAGTTCAGCGGTCGGTGTCCAGCTGCTGCAGCAGGCGTCCTTTCCTCTGTTTTCCTCTCAGCTCTCAGTCCGGTTTTATCTTCATCGTCATTGCAGCTGATATCATCGTTGTCATTATCTGTAATATTTTATCAACATCGTATTGCTGCAGATGCGGATGTTCGGTAGCAGGAAAGGGCGAATGACGGAGTGAGGGGGTCGAAGGGGAAGAGGAAGAGGAAGGGTTAGGGGCAGGGGAAGGGGTAGGGGGATGGTAATTGTGGCCGCCCTAGTCCGTTAGTACCGGCTTCTGTTTGTGGCACCCCACACGCCCATCCCCGCCCACAACCGCCCACTCCATTAATATACATGTCCGTTGTTCGTAGCGTGTGTGGTGCGTCCGCTGGAGATTTAAGAGGAAGAGGAGGGAAAAAGAGAGGTGAAATATATACCCGGGTTGCTTTGAGAGACTTCGATGCCGGCGCGGTGGTGATCCTTGGCCCCTGCGAGACAAGGCGCATCGGCCGTCGCTACGCACTCCACATGGTGATGGGGCAGATAGGAAACTAGACAGCACGGGACGGGGAGGAGGAAAGGGGAAATGGGAGAGGGAAAGGGAGAATGGAGAAAGAGAACGCAGATTAAGAGAGGTAAGTTGGCCCAGTAAAGAAGTGGAGGCTAACGAGG